TCTGATTTAGCTCTTCTGCCATGATTAACTAGGTGAGAAAGTCTCCTTTATTTTTTATACTTTTTTTCTTTTCCAGAAGATGACAACATGATTATTTAGGAGGTCAAGGAAGAAACAAGCAATTAAGTGGTTTGCTTCTTCACTGATTGAGCTAATAATATTTGAATGTGGCAAAGTCTCTGCCCTCGTGGACCTAATAGTCTTAAGTAGAAGGCAGAGAGTGGGGTGGATGTAGAAACAGATCACCTCAGTTGCAGGTTTTATATATATATATATATATATATATGATAATAAATCTATGGGAAGGGGTAACAGGGGTGTGATTGATTCTAGACTGTACAGGAAGGTCACAAGAGAAATTATTCCAAAGTGGAGTCTGAAGTTGGCACTCCAGTAGGATGGAGTGAGGTAGAACAGCTCAGATTAGATATAGTAGCACAAGCCTGTTCTCCTCACACACTGGGAGGCGACAGTGGGAAGACTCCAAATTAGAGCCCAGCTTGTGAAATTTAGGGAAATCTTGTCTCAAAAATTTAAAAATAAGAACAGGACTGAGAATGTGTCTCAGTAGTGAAGGCTGTGGATTGAATCCCCAGTACTGCAAAAAAAAAAAAAAAGTCTCAAGGAACTATGAGAAAGCTCTTGAGGCTAGAACTGGGTTCTGAAGTGGGTGAGCAAAGTGGGTAAAGCTGGGAAGTCAGGTAGGCAGGCAGACTTCATCTCACAGACTGTAAGGAATTGGTGGAGGAATTAAAACAAAGAAGTAACTTTTGCTTTAAGTGCTTATGAGCTGCAGGATAGAGAGTAAGGTGGTCTCCTGGAGAAAGAGATGTTTGGAAACTATTATTATGGGGGCCAGATAAGAGAAGACAGCAACTTAGGAAAGATCAGGGTCAACAGGGTTGCAGAAAGTGGGTGGATTTAACAGAGTTTTAGAAGAGCAAATGTAATAGGATGATAAAGTAAAATAAGATGGTGATTTCCAGCCCTTCATGGGAGAAAGAGGTTAGAGGAGAGGAGGGAAAGAGAAATGTTGAAACAGATTAGAATGGGTAATCTGACTCTCTAGAATGCCATTTCCCATGCCTTTCTCCCTGCCCCCTCAAGCCCACTTGGTCACAACTCTGTGAGGGGTTAATGACCCTGTTGATTGCTGAACCTCAGTTTCAGTCTGTAAAATAAGAGGACTAAACCCCTGGGGTTTAGGCTACCCTCTTCCTCCAGGCTAGGCTGAGCTCTCCCTTCTCTGCATCTTGTAGCAGTGTTTGCTTCAGCCTTACTTTCCTTAGCCTTTGCTGCCTGGATTCTACATGCTCTTTTTCCCACTTAAACTTTAATTCCTACAGGGATGGATGGTGCTGTACCCCTTGCTTCTCCACCAGCTCCTGGCAGATGCTGCCTCAGGACTGAGAGGCTACTGCCTCCAATCCGGGTCAGGTTCTTCCTCATTGTCCTCATTGTCTACCTGCTCCAGAACTTCTAGATGCAACTTGGTCCAGAGTCCATTTTCATTGTACCCTGATCTGGACTTTTCCTTGCTCAGTGCCCAGGTGGATAGCACTTGGCAGGTGGGAGTGGGGAGCTGATGAGAAAGAAGAGACATGGATAGAGTCTTGCTTAGCTCTAAGAAGTTATATCCAAGTTCAGTGTCAAACAGGCATGCAGGTTATGTTTGTGTAAGTGTGTGTACATTCATGAGTATGACTTTTGAGTGTTCTTGTATTCACTTCTGTATTATGTGAAGATCTGTGTACATGTGTGCATTTAAATAACCATGTATGCAAGTCAATATACATATGTTAACATCTATGCGTCCATGAATGTCAATGCCTGTATAAATGTGAGGGACTCTGTTGCCAAATTTGTGTGTCTGTCTACATAGGAATGTCAACATGTACATGTTCCCCTGTGTCTGCATGCGTATACAAAGTGTGGTGAACACATATGGTGGATGTTTACATCCAAAAAAAGGTATTATAGTAAAAGACACATTGCCATTAATCCCCTCAAAATATTCCCACACACTTACCTCAGTATTCTTGCCCCTTTCTGAAGCAGTTCTGGAAGTCCTCTTTCATGAGTGTCTTTATGTGATTTTTAAAAATGTAGTAGATGCTACTGTTGAGAGCCATCCAACAGAAATATAGGCTTAAAAAACATGGCAGTGTGTTCTCATCCACTTGATTAACCAATCTGGCATTGTGCAACTTCTGACTCTCCCTCACAGTGAAAAAGACCATCAACTGTTTAAACTGATTCAGCACATCCAGGCAGCCAAGATAATTCAGCCAAGGACACTCACAAAAGAGGGCTTCCAGGCTTGCTTCAGAGAGTGACAACAACTGGATGAGTAGACTCAAAGTGTGCAAGGGAAATTAATGGTAACATATATCTTTTACTATAATACATTTTTAAAATTTAAATGTTCTCCATTTTTGTTCATCATTCTTCATATGTATCTATGTTGTGTTTGTATGTGTTTTTGTCATGTAAACAGAGGTGGAACCCAGTGTTTAGTGAAAGTCATGTGTTCTGAAATCTGGTACAAGTCCAGAATTTATCCCTTAAAAGTGATAGACACCAGAGTGAGTGATTATTTTCTTTGAGCCTTGGTTTGCTCATCTTTAAACTGGGATAATACTACTTACCTGCAATGTCTAAGGTGATAGTTGAATGATAGAATATCCATAATGCACTCAAAAAGTGCTTACAAGTAGAACATGTCAAAAACTGTTGTTACATTTCCTGTGGGCAGAGACATGCAGCCAGATCCACTGCCATTAGAAAGCTTGCTTCCTCTGGGCAGCTAGCACTGACCAGGAAATCAGACAAACACATCCCTGTGTGCCTGCCACCATCAGGGGAGTCCTAGTGTAGACATGCAGACTGAGAGAAGAAGAAGCCATGCCACCACATGCCCCTGGCCCACAGGGAAGCCTCACTGTAGCTGCAAGCATCAGGAGAAGCCCATTTCATGACTGGCTACTGCCCTGAGAACCTAGGTTCAGAGAAACCCAGCTGCCCGTCACATTCTCTTATACTGCAGAGAGGCAGCCAGTGTGGGAAGTGCTTGGGATCCCACAACCAGCTTGTTGGGAGCAACCAAGGATAATGTCAAGAGGAAGGAGCAGAAAGCAATCTCAGACCTCCATCCCATATAGAACAAGTATGGGAGATACAGTCATGGAAGAAAATGGAAGTCATACACCTGAAATCTCTGAAAGGATAGCAACCAAAGTAAAGAAACAACTTCATGACACTGTAAAAGTAATCAAATCAGAAATAATGTCTCAGGTAAAAGAATAAATCACAAGCATAGTGAAAGAATTTCTGAGCATATCTAAAGAAGACATAGATTAAAAAAAGAGCATAGGAAAATAATGGAAACCTTAAAGGAATAAGATAGGAGGGAATTACAGTGCATGAAACAGATTCAAAGAAATATTCAGGAAGTTAAAAAGTTGATCAGAAGCTGGAAAAACCACTTGAAAGAAACTGAAGGTAGACCTTCAGACCTTGAAGATTGGATAGCAGCTAGAGATCACAAAAGGAACGATCTCTTAAAATAACAAGGAACCAGGAAATAACAATTCAATGGCTACAAGATGACACAAAGAAAAATAAGTTAAGAGTGATAGGAATCAGCAAAGAAGTAGGGGTCAACACAAATGAAATAAAAAGATTATTTACAGAAGTAATAGCAGAAAACTTTCCAAACATGGGAGTAGGATCTAGCATACAGATAAGCAAGGCATATAGAACTTCAACTAGCCATAACCAAAGAAAATCTGTACCAGACATATAATAATCAAAGTTCCAGAAATTTAGTACAAGAGCAGAATATTAAAATCTTTTAGAGAAAAGAAGCAGATCATCTATAAAGGAAAACCAGTCAGAATCATGGCAGATTTATCAACACAAACCATCAAGTCAGTGAAGTGTTTCAAATCCTAAAAGAAAACAACTTCCAACCTAGATTGATGTACCCTGAAAAACTATCTTTTAAAATTAATGCAAAAATAAGACACCTCTATTATAAAGACTGAAGGAATTCATGACCACAAAACCAACTCTATTGAGAAGGCTGAAGAATATTGTAGCAAGAGATAGAAATAACCATGGTTCCAGATACAGCAGCAGAGGAGGATCACCAAAAGGACAGGCAATTGAATGAAAAGGAAAACTGGAGGACCAACAGCAGGAGGATAGCATGGCAGAGATGAACAGTGCATGGCAGTCGTGACCATTAATGTACATGGCCTCAATTCGCCAATAAAAAGAAACACAGAGAAAGTGACCAAGAAACAAGATCCATCAGTATACTGTATAAAGAAACACATTTAACTTGAAAGGAAATTCATAGACTGAAAATCAAAGGAGAGAAAGCAATTGTACCATGTGACAGGAGACCAGAAAAAAGCAAGAATCCATCAGAAAAGAATTATATGGAATTTTCATACAATGGAAAGCTAACCAGCTACAAAGAGGATAATCTCCAGGCAGAGCACTGCAAACTGTCTCTCTAGCAGACACACAAGTCTTATCCTGGCTCCTGATATTTGCCTGAGGTCAGCTTGGAGAGGAGTAATGTACAGCTGTAGGAAAGGGGAGGTTTCTTGTTGATATCTTTAAAGAGTCCTCACTCAAGCTCTTCAGGAGGAAATTTTGCTTATCTCCTAGTTTTTGCTGCTATGGTCTCACAGCAGAATCAATGTATCATTTTCAGCTGAGATTCCCTGCTATATCCTCCACAGCAAGTATGCAACTTTCTACAAGAGTTGTTTTCTGGGAGTGACAGGCCCCTGCCTCAAAGTTAAGCAGCTTATCCAGATTCTAGATCCTAGGCATAAAAAGCTGTGTTGTACTAAGCAAGCCATTGTGGTAGAGTGGGGGACAAAGGAGCAACAGGATCCATCTTCCCTGTGAGAATCTCTCAAAAGGACCCATGTGACACAGTGACTGCTGAGACCAGGAAAGAAACACATCAGAGGAGGCAAACACAATGTAAGGGTTGGTTCATTCAATATACCCACAGTGAGGCAGGAAGTGCTTGGGGAGGACTCATGGGAGGACTCTCTTTTGTGTGCTCACTGCCCCTCACCCAGTGACAGGAAACCTCTTGCCTGAAATTATCAACATGCCACAGAGTCATTTAGCAAGTTTGTGTTCAAGGTCCCACTAGTAAATAAGAAAATGAAAAGGCCATCCCAGGACAAGCTGACAGGACCCCACCATGAGGAAAACAGGAATCCAAAGGCACGGGAGTGTCGAAGAATGGGCAATCTCTTCCCTCAGAATGGGAAGGACTGCGAGGGTGAAGAACTTGGACTTCAAGGCCAGATGCCCATCTATGCTCTTAGACTAGCCAAGCCAGGAGGACAGGCAGGAGGAGCACGGGCCAGGCCACCAGGAACCCTGAAACACAAGATGTGACAGTCACATTTTAGACTATATGGTTTGAGTAACACACACAGGCTATCTTCTTATCATTTGCTTTATCTGATATGGGTTATACCCTGCACATCATATAGTAGAGGCAAAGCTGTCTAACCATCAACCAGTCTCTCTCTCTCTCTCTCTCTCTCTCTCTCTCTCTCTCTCTCTCTCTCTCTCTCTCTCTCTCTTTCTCTCTCTGTCTGTCTGTCTCTCCCTTCCTAGTATCTTGCTCAGTTCCTAAGTTGCCCTAGCTGGGTCTCAAACTTTGTGATCCTCCTGCCTTAGTCTTCCAGAGTGCTGGAACCATTTCCATTTTCTTATGGGCACAGGAAGGCAGACTGAAGTAGCTAGGATCATGTGACTGAAACTGGCTAATGAAAAGTGGATGCCATTTGCAGTCTAGTCCTTAAAACCTCTAATATATTGCTTTATGCCTTCTCATCTATCATCAGGAAACCAGTTGAAACCAACAGAACTCAGCATAGGGCTCACAGGGGATAATGGAGTTTCCAGATGTTACCAGAAGCAGTGGTAATGTGAATTTCTAGTGACATCTAGGGATGGAACAGTACCCCTTATTGATTTGGTGGGAAATTATACTGCTGTGTAGAGTATTGTTTGCTGGCAATTGTTTGCTGCAGCAAACAGAAGAGGACTTAAACTGAAGAGAAAGTAAGGCAAAGGAGTTAAAACGCATGACGTCTGAGGCCTGAATAAATAACTTAGAATTTCAGTTCTACAACAAACTGGGCAATTCTAGGCAGAAAATAAAACCTCTTGGTGCTTAAATTTTCCTGTATGCAAAACAAAAATACTAATAGCACCTCGAGGATAGGATTTTTGTAAGGCTGAAGTGGACCAAAATATGTCAAGCATTTAGAATAAAGCATGCACATAGTAAACCCCATAAAAGTGATAGTTTAAAAAATTAGGCCCTTAGATCTGGGAGAGCCGTGATCATGTCTCTTTTGCACATCTCTGTCTACTGAGTGCCAAGGAAGGGCAGAAATGATAATTGCCTTATATCAGGGCTGAGGAGAAACATGTCCCCAGTCCCATAACACTGTCAAAGTAGAGGATCACCTCTTTCTCCAAAGTTCAGAGTTACTTGCCAATGTCCCTAAAAGCGGGGAGAGGAAGAGCCAAATTTTTGGAAACATATAATTATATGACAACCAGATTATAATGATGAAACAGGTTTATGTTCAACTAATTCTAAAATCAGAAATGACCAGGAAATAGCAACCTAGGAAACAATGAAGGCCCTCTTGTGGTGATTTGTCATCTCAGTATCATATCTATTTCTCTTCTTCCAGAAGACCCTAAATTCAGGCCACTCCGGAAATTAGTCAATTCAGGAAACTGCTGAGAAGCCATTCTGTGACTAACCAGAAGGACTGATGGAAATGAACAAGACCTGAAGTCCTGATTTCGAGATACTTCTACCCTACTTGGGGATTTAAGGATGGAAAAAACTTTTTCATGTCACTAACTTAGGTCATTTTGGAGAATAGCAAAATCTTAACTATGTGCTTGCTATTTTGTCCAAAATATTTTTCTTCAATTTGTGTGCTGTTAAACTCCAAGTCATTCATCAAAGCCCCACTCAGATGTCACTGCCTGATGACATGTTTTCCTGACTGCTCTCAATGCAGTTCACTGGTCATTCTCCTTCTGTGCTACCTACCTGCTTGCCGCTTATTTGCTCATGTGCCAATGTCAATTGTGCAGTGAACTGTTGTTCCTTCTGCCTGGGGCTCAATTCCCCTTGTACATCTGGCTTCTTTCCTTCATTTGGTTAAATACCACTTCCTTTGATAGTTATTGTGACTCTTATTCATCCTTATTTTTCTTTTCTACGCTAATAATAAAACCATCAAACACTGGTTGGGCATGTAGCCACCCAGAATAAAGACTGCATTTCCCAGCTTCCTTTGCAAATAGGTGTGGCCATGTGACTGAGCCAGTGAAATGTAAGTGGAGGCACAATAAGGTGCCAACTTCCAAGGATGTTCCTTAACACTCTACTTCTTCTGTGTTCCCACCATTCTGATACCTAAGTACAAAGGTTGGGGCTCTGGATGCACCTTGGACCATGTGGATGGTGGTCACACCTTAAAAAAGGTAAAGGGGTAAGCTGGAAGGAGCCTGGATCTTTGATGACTGTGTGGTGCCACCATATAAACCTAGGACTTCAGCCTCTAGATTTCATTTCTGTGTAAAAGAGATGAACTTCTTTTTTTCTTTTTCTTGTTTTTTTTTCTTTTCAAGAGATGAACTTCTATTTGATTTAAGATTTTATTATCTACACTGGTAATATGCTATCACATGACCTTTTAACCCCAAATGATTTTTCATTTATTTTTTATTGTCTACATCCCACTCTGGAACATAAGCTCCAGGAGGGCCAGTACATGACCTGTCTTACTCACTAGGCTCCCTATTGTGTCTTCAGTACCTAGAACAATGCCTGGCTCCCTGGGAGCACTTGATAAATATTTGTTTGTAAGTGACTGTCTTCTTTGCTACACCGCACAGCCTTGGGTTTGATTCATTCTCTGTGTCCACAGGCTTTAGAACAGGGCATGGTGCACAGAAGCTGAATCGGTGCGTGTAGGATTGAAAAGTGTAAGGAGAGGGAGTTGGACGGTTGTGGGAAAGGCACAAGGAAACCACATACCTGCAGTCCTGGGGGTTCCACTCATGACACCAAGAGCCTGGGCTCCTATGGACAAGAACAGAAGGCAGAGTTTCCTCAGGTGTGCTCTGATACCTACTGCACCGTGGCTGCTGCATGGGGCCCAATCTCTACAATGATGGACTGTCTTCAAGGGGGAGGCATCTCTACTTATCCAGTAGATACTTTTTCTAAAGCACCACATGCATCTTAAACTTTATCTTCCTAACAGATTTGTGAGGGAAGCGTCTTCATTCCCACTTGACAGTAAGAAGACTGAGACTTAGCGATGATAAGTGACTTGCCAAATTGACCTTGTCACTAAGAGCAGAGCTTGGGCTCAAACTTCACATGAGATTTCAAGTTGAGGGAATTGATAAAGAACCGGTCAACTCAGGGCAAGTCTTGCTCCTGAGACATTCTCCATCTGCTCATCTGTAAAATGGGAGCAACAGTGTTTATCCCTGGGGTTGTTGTGAGCATTCAAAGTGTTAATGAATATAGAGTGTGTAGCACAGTGCCAGGCTACACAGAAACTCCAGAAAGTATTTCTACAATGACTGCCATTAGTAGTACTACATCTTAATTTTTCAGGGCTAAAAAACATGCTTTATTTTCTTTTGGGTTTCTTGACTCCCCCATTCTGATGGAAATAAAAATCACTGCAGTATCCTGAACTTGTATGTATGATGGATGGAAACTTGAGGAGCAGCTGGGAAGCCTCCCCAATATCACACTCCAGCATACTGTACCACAGTGGCTCACCAGAAAACAAAGTTACACTTAAGTAGGAGTCAAGATTTAGAATTCACCCAAAAGGGTCTGAGGTATAGCGACCTAAAGCAGTTAGAATAAGAAAAAGGCCACATGCTTTGGAATCAGCCTGAGCTGGGCTGAAATCTAACTGCTGTCACTCTTGGGCAGGGTGACCCTTGGTGAGTCCCTTTACCTCTTGTCTTCTCATTATTATAACAGACACAGTGACAGGAGGATTAAACAAATGACCAGATACAGGTGCTAAGCCAGGTCTCCAGCACACAGGAGGCCCACCACAAATGGTGATGTCACTACACGTCAGAGAAAGACATAAAGGCACCTGTGGACTAGGAGGCAGAAAGTCCTGAGTAGTAAGCAGTGGTCACCCTGGGCGTCTGTAGTTAACTTTCAGCACTTGGCCAGCTGACCTTCTCATGAGGACTCAGCCTCTTACCTTTCCGAGTGATGGGTCCCAAATCCAGAACCTGGGCTAGGTCAAGGCCCGGCACATTACTACGGAGCCGACTTGCTGGACAAGACTGTGGGAATGAAGAACTGTTACTATGTAACAAAATGTAAACCCAAGTGCTCTGCTTTAGTGCATTTACCCATCCATGCATCCATCCATCTTCCCATCCACCCATCTTGCCCATCCATTCATGTATCCATCCTCCTAATAAATACCTATGGAGACCCTACCAAGGCATCTCTGGGCTAATCATGACTATGTGCTGTCCTTTTTTTCTCCACTGAGAGATTTCACCTGTCAAGCCAAACGAATGTGGGTTTGAAATTTCATCCCAGTTCTAGCTGTGTGGTTTGGGATAAATAATTTTGCTGCTCTATGATGATTAAATGAACGTACTTGGTTTCAAAGACTAGAATGAAGAATGTGTGCAATATATAGGTACATAGTAAACATTCAACAGATACCAACTCTTCAAGGTAGTGCCCGATGGAGACATGCGCGTGGGCACTAGAGTCACAGCACAGCTGTGGTGCACCGTACACTGAGGATTGAACACAGGATTCTGTGCATGCCAGGCAAGTGATCTATTACTGACCACTCCTTCTTTCTGAGACAGGATCTCACTAATTTGCCCAGGCTGGCCTTGAACTTGTGATGCTCCTGCCTCAGCCTCCTAAATAGCTAGGATTTACAGGAGTGAGCCATGCCCCATTCCAGTCCTAATTCTTTCTAGCTGTGTATGGTGCTTGGGCAAGGGGCTTCTCTAAACCTCATTTTCTTTATTTGTAAAAACAGGCATGAAACCAATGCAAAAAATCTATTTAAAATCTATTTCAATTAGATAAGGCAGGCAAAAGTTTTGGCATGTCACTTAGCAGAGTGAGCACTAAACAAGTTAATTATGGGATGAGAATCTTATATCCAAAATGCTTGGGTACAGAAGTATTCTTCATTTGGGAGTTTTACTGGTTTTGGAATATTCAAATAGACTTTATGGGTTGAACATTAATAATCTGAAAATCTAAAACCTGAACTGCTCAAAAATCTAGAAGTTTCAACATCATGTTGGTTCTCAAAAAACTTTGGAAGGCAGATCATTGTGGATTTCAGATTTTTGTTTGAGGGATTCTCAACCTGTATTGTTATAGTCATTCAAAATATATCTTGTATCAGGGAAAACTTACCTGCCTTTCTGGGGACAGAAAAATTGCTATAAATGAGCTTTCAAAATCCTTAAATGCTGTCTATCTACTAATCCTTCTTTCTTCCCTCTTTTCTTCATATTTAGCCACTCATCTGGCTTTCAATCTCTTTAGACATTTATCCAGCTAATCTACATTTTCCCATCCATTCCACCCACCCACCTGTCCATCTGTTCACTCATTCATCTATCAGTCCACCTTCCCAAAAGATACAAATAGAGAAGCTGCCAGTTGCAGGCTCTATGCCACACTCTGAATTTTCCGGTTCAAAAAGACACTCACTGGTTGGCACTGTTCCTTAAAGGAGTCACAGAGATGAACCTCACAGTGCAAGAAAACTAGATCATAATTTCCAGCAAACATGAACATCTGGACTGAGAACCGGCTCTGCGAAGACTCCCCGTTCTCCTTCACAGAGATAGTGGAATCATGTTGATTTGGGCAGCTGGAATGAGGGGAGAGAGCAAGCATTGGAGAAAGTGAGAAGCTGCACAGCCCAGCTGCAGTTCCTCCGTCACGGTCCCACAGACTTTCTGTTCCTCTGTTTCTGCCATAAGTTTATATGCTTTAAATTACTTGAGGCACAATCTCTGGAGTGAAAAAGACTGATTTTACACGCAGCACAACCCAATCTCTAGCTAAATGATCCTAAGATGTTTCTTAACCTTAGTGATCCTCAGTGTTCTCATAAAAATATGGAAACAAAAATATCCACCTCATAGAATGGAGGTGGAGTCTTAATAAGATATTGTGCATATTGCTTAGCACAGAACTTGGCACGTAGCTAAGCTCAAAGATAAATATCACCAGATAGTATTACTATGCTTTGAATCATGATCTATGGTTATGCATTTGCCTTTGTTTTTGTCAGTTAATGTTACTCAATGATATTTTATAATACTTGTCATGTCTTTTCCATGTTGATCAATGTTAACATCTGTATAATAGTCCATCATTACTTAATTTATCCCTATTTTTTGAACAATGAACCCATGATCAACATTATAAAGAATACCAAAATGGAAAATAACTGGCATTACTTTATTCTGTTCATCTATTTTGTATTAATACTTTATACTAAAATATCAAGAGTTAGATTCCTGGGTCATAAGATGTACTTACAATATACAATACTGACTTTTTTCCCAAAGAGGCAAGTTAATGTACATAATCACCAGGTATGGATGAAATGAATATTCTCCTCCAAACGTTGGTAAGCCCCAAAATGCATCCCAGAGTCATCTGATACCTGTTTCTGATGATGAAGTACTTCACAGGGTCATCCTTGTTTTCAGAGGGGGTAGCATAGCAATTCCTCAATAGCAGATTAAACCGGGAGGTGTCTCCCCTCTCCAAGATGGCACCCACATAGAGCATGGATTCCACTGACAGCACAACTGACTCCCCTTCATAAGGATTTATGTAGCTCTCATCTTGGAAGAGGGCCAACCTGACTGTGAATTCTCCATACCCATCCAAGCTGATATTCAAGGAACTGAGACAAGGAAAAATGCAGAAGAAACATCAGATTTTGACCAAAAAAACAATATAAATCAACCAATCTACTTGGATAAAAAATAAGAGCACATATTTGACCTCTAAATAAAGTATTCAACCTACCATTTAAATGGAATGTTTACCAGCTTCTAGGTGCTAAACTTGACATACAAACAAGTCTGTCTTGATAATTTGCACTGATTCTCCCTGCACTAACCTTTATTCCTTATATGAATTAATCTTTATTCCTTTTTTTTTGTCTTTTTGACACAAGGGTGCCCTACCAAGTCCAAATTGGCCTTGAACTCACTATGAAGCCCAGGATGGCCTCAGACTAGAGGCAATCCTCCTGCCTCAGCCTCCCAAATGCTAGGATTACAACAGGTCTGATTTAATGTTTAACCCTTACATTCACTGACTTTATGTTGTAGGACCATCTATCACTCACTTAAGAAATAAGGGTTAGTGTATACTGCTGTCTTATTACTTGGAGAATGAGATTTGTGATCAGTTCTGCGGGTTCATAATTTTTAGCCTTAGTTTCATTCCTCTGCTCACAATTAAACACCATTTGTTAAACACCATTTTAACAAGAAAAATTGTGTGTGTGGGAGGTTGTTGCTAGTGATGGAACTCAGGAACTCTTCCATGTGCTAGGCAAGTGCTCTACCTCTGAACTACACCCTCAGCCTTCATTTTTAATTCTGTATGAACCGTGGGTCTCAAAATAGTATATTCTGAAAACCATTGAACTTGAAAGTTTCTGATCCTTTTGATTCTTTTACTCCTGGAACCGAGAAAATAATAATGAATGGAACAGGCACTCTGGATTTCTGAACACCTAACCACTCAGCAAGTCTAGAAATATAAATGTTTGACTTAACAGGGCTCCTCACCAGGTAAAGAATTATAGTATTGAATAAAATAGGCAAGAACCCTAGCTAGATAGAATCCCATGCAAACTGCTTTGGTGTGGAAGGAGGCACTGCTTATTCAAACAAAGGTGACCTCAATTTAATTCTCAAATCAGCTATGAAATTTTCCTTTGTCTACCATCCTACTCACTAGGATTAGGTCCAGCTTGTATCCTACTCCCATAGTACCCCATGATTCTCCTACATTGCATATTTGTAAGAAATTTTTGATTTAATTATCCTCCACAAGGAGAATATCTTATTCAAGGTCATGGTTCTTGAGCACATTCACAAGCATAGTTTCCTGCTGCAGCATTGTTTCATAATAATAATCTTTAATATATATGAATATTATTTAATATACAATCACCAAATATTTGTAAATTGAATTATTGAATGAGTTCAAGTTCCCAAAAGGTGTTGCTAGCATTGTGTGGACATCATAAAATACGGCAGAAGCAAGTGTGTTGAAAGTCAAAGTGGGTCAAAGGGCAAGGGTCAGGGCCATACCTTACAATGGGCTGAAGTGAAGCCTCGAGGCTGACCTTCATGTCCAGGGGGTAGGCACACTGGAAGTTGATGTTGAGGAGCATGTCCCTGATGATAAAATCGCTGGCCAAGTGGAAGGTGTTTTTGTAGATGGCATGGGTTCCATTTTTCTTTGAGACAAAATGAAATCACATCTACATAGATGTGTTTAGGTCTATCTCTAACTTAGATATGTCTGATTTCAGAGTCAGTGATACCAACCATGCAGCCACCGTGCCTTCTGTCTCAAGGAAATAAGGAGGCCTCTTCCTCCTTTTTCTGTGGCACTGATATTTATGTGAAAGGGAATGAGGAGCCTAGACTAAATAAAAGTGTTGTTATGAGTGACTAACACTGGGGAGAGCCAGAGACCAACATGAATGAACCTCAGTACACCTCTCCCATGCCAGCCTTAATTAAAATAGTCATAATTACAATTTATATTGACTAAGTTCAAGTGTCCACCTGTCATAAGTTCTTTAAATGAACCAAGTTGTATGACCTCACATCACCTAGAGGGCTATGAAAGGCTAAGTGACCTTCCCCAAATCTCACAGTTTCTAAACTAAACCAATAAGCCTGAGCCACACCAATTTACCTCCAGAATGTTCCCACAGGCGCTCGCCTGGACAGGACTGATCACAGATAGCCAGTTGTCATCCTCTCTTTGCAAGATGCTGTTGCAATTCCTGTCATTGAGGTAGGCTAACACCTCCTCCCCAAAACCCAGGTTTTCCAGCAGACACTTGTCCAGCTTCACTTTGATCTCACTGGCCCCACAGTCCAACTGAGGCTGCAAACTTTCACCATCTGGAAAACCAAGAGGGAGCTTGGTAGAGTGAAAAGAGATCTGAAAGCTGTGAACAAAAGTCACTATGCTCATCAGGAAGTTGGATAGACTAGAAGGATTCTGGATCCAGGTGGGATTGACACTCAGCCTGGCAAAGACTTCTGGCCCAGGACTTCAATGGGCTTCACTTCAGCCCATTGTAAGGTATGGCCCTGACCCTTGCCCTTTGACCCACTTTGACTTTCAACACACTTGCTTCTGCCGTATTTTATGATGTCCACACAATGCTAGCAACACCTTTTGGGAACTTGAACTCATTCAAGCATCCTATGTGCAGGTTTGGCTGAGTTCCCCTTGGGGATTGGTATGTTTGGAGAGGCAAAATGATCCTGCATTCCAAACTAGCATCAAAGCTAGGTACACTCTACTTTGTGAAACTAGCACATCTGATGAGGTTCAGAGTCACTGTATCCATTCATTCATTCACTCACTCATTTGTTTATTCCACAAACATTTCTTGAGCATCTACTATTTGAGTTCTGCCCCAGGAATCTGCTCTTTTCCTAAACATGAGGACTCTAGGTATTTGGATAACTCCTACACGTGTAGAGTTCTCATCCTTAACATCTTTATCCCTTCTAGATCAAGCTTGCTCATGCCAGAACCAGTTACTGAAGTTATGGTCCAAAAATTTTCCAACTCTGGTCTCCTATCCTTACAAACCCCTTGACCTTAAAGCAAAGATATAGCAGAACCCAGAGTTTGTCTCTCAACCTCAGTTCCATACCTCTGACTTTGATCCATACCTTCTCCTGGCCCTCCAAAGCTCCTTCTTCCTTCCCTGTCCACCCAGGACAGTGGCCACCAGCCCTGAGAGCTGCTCACCAGAGACACTGATGTTCTGTCTGCAGAAACAGCCCCAGATGCCATCTTCTTCACGACACTCTTCCTCAGGGCGGCAGGAAGACTCACATGTTGGTATAGGGGGAGGGTCTCGGAGACAGAGAATGATAGAAAATATCAGGATGCAGAGCAGATAAGTCTGAGGCCCCCAAGTCCAACCCCTCTTTCCAGCAATGCACTGCAACCTTGTTAACAATGTGAGATTGGTAGAAAATGCCTGATTCTCAATCCAGTGGTGTGATGGGGAAGCTGAATCTGCCATCAAATCATTTACTACAGGCCAGGCAGGAGCTATTATTTTCCACATTTTAGTCTATTTGTTCCTCATGGCGACAATGTGAGACAAGACAGCCTGATAGCTCAGCTCACTGATGCCAGAGCGAGTGAGCCAGGGTTCAAATGGCAGTTCTGTGATACTGGAAGAGGTACTTAACCTCTCAGTGTCCCAGACCCCTAATCTGGGTAACTGAGCACTTATTTAATGGAGCTACTGGGAGGAATCAGTGAGTTAATACACTGAATGTGATGAGCACAGCAGTAGGTGTGCTGTGAACTCTATGCATTGGCCGTTACTTTGCTATTATTCAGTTTCTCAGATCAGAAAACTGAGGCTCTGAGAGGTAATGTCCTCAAATGAAAACAAAATCTGAATAAGTTTGAGTTCTTGATATGTTGTGTACACAAATCAGGACGTTTTACTCTTGAATCAAAATTTCTGGCTTGACTCACACTGTTAGAAGGGCTGGTAACTGTTGAGATACTTTTCTGCCAGGTAACTGTTGTCGGGAGCTAAGTGGAAACGGCCGAAGCTGCTTGGTCTCCTGCTAACCAGCTCTCCTCACTCTGTGAGTTTCAGGCATCGCATCAGAAGCCCTGCCTGCAGGTGCTGCTCACCTGTGCAGTATCTTAGAGAGCACGTTGGGGTGGACTCCAGCCTGTACACGTAGTATCCATCCTCACAGGCCTTCACCAGCACATCAGTGTGCCAGAGACAGCAGCTTCCACTCCAGTGGGCACATGCAGTGAGCTGGACGATACCGTCAGCAAGGGCAGGGTGAGTCCCATTCAGCCACAAGGGAGCATCTGTCTGACATCTGTACACTGGGACACAGCTGTCAGACATTGTCTCTCCTCCTTCACCCACAAAGCGGTACCAGCCGCGCAAACCGTTATCACAGAACCTGCCACTCCCTGTGTCCTCTCTGCTTCGGGAGGGGTCATCCAGAACTGTGTAATTCTGGCAGGGGTCAAAACAGAGCTCGGCCTCTGGAGTGCCAGGGTCTCCGCAGACCAGGCCCTGCTCATAGAAACTGGCTTCTGTGACGTTTGTGTAACCTGTGAAAAGGACAGAGCATGCTCGGGTTACTGAGCAACTCAAGACTACAGAATTCTAACCCCCCCTTACACTTTCCTTTTGATGTGCTAAGGACCCCAGTGAGGCCAAAAGCACCCACTCTATGAATGAAACATAAAACATTATCACCGTGGGGAGAACTTTGTGCAGTACTTTATAGACGCTGAGGACAGTTAAGCCACTGTGTTGCACCAACCGCCACTACCCCACCTAGAGTTACAGAGAACATTCCTGTAGGACTGCCCCAGGCAGACCTTGACGTATATTTGGGTTTTATTGTTTGTTTGTTTTTTTGGGGAGGGGGAATCATAATGCAGGCTCACTGGGGGTAAAACCCTCAAATATTAAAATGAAAAAAGTAAACATGAAATGCGTCACAGTGCCCACTTCAGCCTCGCATATACTGAAATGAAAGTTGTGAGTGCACCATATCCCCAAGGTATTCATAAAATTGTAGTTTTTAGTTTCTTCCCATGCATATAAATTGATAATGATTTTTTAGAAATAAAACCCAAGTTAGTGCTAATTTTTTCCCATTTGCAGTTTTATTTAATACAGCACAGGTGTTTTTCTGTATCAGACATAGAGTCTAAGATTTTTCAACCTTGGCACTGTTGACAGGTTGTCTGGGTCATTCTTCATTGTGGAACTGCCCTGTCCTGTATATTTTGAAAGGATTTCTGTCCCCTATCAGCAAGGTGCCAGAATTATCCTGAAGTTGTCCCTAGGCATTATCAAATGTCCCTCTTCAGGAGCAAAATCACCTCCAATTGATAACCACTGATCTTATGGGATCATTTCATATTGTTGATCTTCCATTTTTTTTTTTTTTTTTAAGATTCAGGGGAATGTGATATATGATAAGGCAGAGATGTAATTGGTCATGTTGGATTTAAACCCAGGCCCACACCTCCTGTGGTCACAAGTTGGCAGGTGACTGAGGTCTTCTGAGACTTCTTCAAGCTAGTGAGAACCCCAAATTTGGTTCTGACAACTTGTGTCATAATGTTGCTATACCTTCGTCTGCCTGTCCTGTTATGGACTTACAATGTTTCTTTAAGTGATTTCCTTTAAAATTTAGTTTCACCTAAAGGAATACTATTGAAGGTACAATGAATGAATTATATTTTTAAATATGCATGAAAATAACTATACAAACTTTAAGTATCTAAAGAATCTGCCAGGCACTGCCAGGCATTTTGGGATACACATGCACCATTTGGGAAATAAAAGCTTAAAGGTTCTTAGAAGAGGCAATGAGATGATTTCCGTAAAACACCAATCTCAGTACTGGAATCAAGCTTGTTCTTATCTCTGGCTCTGATCAGCTGAATGCTCTGATTAGCACATGAATGCGTGATGAAGAAAGCTACAAACAAGGGCTGACACTTTTTCTGTTTTGTCTATTTTCCCTTTTGAATTTAAAAGCAATTTATATTAATAAAGTAAATATAAAATCACTCTTCTAAGAAAAAATAAAACAAAATTTCAAAACAAAATAAAGAATAATATAATAATAGATACGATGAGTCATGATCTTAAAAGAATGGTCAAAGTGTTCCTCAGAGTGCAAGCCATAGACAAAGAAAAAAATTCTCTTACAAGCAAGAGACTAATAAACAGAAGGACAAAAGATTTTTTCAATGAACAAAAAGAAACTAGCAGGTTGAATGAAACCAATTAACATACACTTTAAAATGTTGTTTTACATTCTTATGATTCTTGTCAGAGGGACTTCTTAGAAGAAGAGATCCTTAAGCTTTTCTCATGCATGCCTGTGTTTTAAGGAAAGAAACCACTGTACTTATTCTTGGGGCATTTCCCACATGCTGTGTATTTTCCCATCAGAGACCCAGCTGAGTTCTCTGCCCAGTGCTCTCTCTCTGTAAGGCTGAAGTCGCACCCCAGTTTGGAACCTGAGACTCTTTCTACGAGTATTTCAGTTGCCTGATGCATACAGAGATGAGATGCTGATGAGTCTTAAGAGTGCTCCGTCATTCATCTTCATGGTGTGGCGTCAGCAGGCACAGAGTTGAACTTAAAGCCAGTCTGGCCAGCAGCCAGTTTTACCCTTCACCTCTTCCTTACATCTCTACCTTCTCATACCTCACATCCCTGAAAGCTTTCCAGAAGAAAAGGAAGATCAGCAATCAGAAACGGTCTTAATAGTTTAGGAAGAGACCAGAACCGTCGATAAGTCTAACAGATGAGTGTGATGATAACAGGAAGAACTTGCCAGCACACGGCGAGGATGATTTATTCCCTCATTTTTCTTCTTCCTGGCTTTCTGATCATCCCCAGACACAGGCGTGGGAAGGTATCCTTTCAGGCATCTCACCTGCTGGCTCTGAGACACTGTGACTTGAGTCCTTTCTGTCTTATGCTCCTCCCTTTCACCACCAACTCAGTCTTTGGTTTAGACCTACCTGTTCCTTTCACTGACCCAAACTGCTATTTCTGGTCTGCCCTGCTCACACCTCCCGTCCTGTTGGCCACCTGTGATGCAGGTGAGCGGAGTACTCACCTTGCTGGACACTCAGTGAGAGGACCAAAATGCAAGAGGCCAAGGTCTGCCCCAGGAGATCAGAACCCACCATCCTTCCTACAAGGCGAGGCACACAAGTTCACTCCCCAGTGCGGACACTGTTCATGCAGCTGCAGGAGAAGAAAGGCCCATATAAGGTTGAGGCACACTTGTGTGCAGAGACAAGACAGGCACTCACATCAGTTCACACCTATGGTGTGACAGCATTTGCACTAAGCACTGTTCATACTTTCTCTCATTTAAAACTCTAAACCATCCTACAGGGAAGATGCTATTATTGACCCCGATTACAGACAAAGCATGTGAGATTCAGGAGGCATTAATTCAAGCAATATATGGTACATCTTCCCCATGCACAGGCACCTTGCTGATGGCCATGATCTCAGAAACAGAACTGTTGGTTTCCTTCACAAAGTGCTAAATAGTTTCAAAGCAAGCATGAGTCACAGAAAAGGAGTGGGATGATAGGAGTAGGGAATTACCAAGGGGATGAAGTTAATAGGAAGCCAAAAGATGCCAGTGTTGTAGACTGTCCTAGAGGGGTCTCAGGATGGTTCCTTTTCAGGCTGAAGTAGAAGCTGCCAGGAGACTGATGGAGGGAGGAAGGTACAGAGCCCGTGAATGCCTACCAACAAAAGAAATGACTTCCTGCCTCTGTTGTATATGTCAGGTCTTGCTACAGAGCCCCCAAAATGTCCTCTACACAAGTAGATTTTCATAAAGGTGGAACCATATCACACTGAGTGTTGTGCTCCTCGCTCTTAACACAGAATCTGGCACACAAGGGCTGCCTTGGAGAGATGTAAAGGATGAATAAATGAATAAATGAGCAGGCAGGCAGAAAAGAAAGAACTTTGAAAAGCCTGCTGGCACTCAAATGACACATCCTCTTCTGGGAACCTCTCCTTGAGAAAATGGTTCTTGGCATGTCTTCTCCCTGAAAGATTTGGGGAGAGTCCGTTTCTGGGAGGAATATTATGGCTACACCCTGAGCAGGCAGGGTCAGGAGCACTGGTCCACACTTCAGGAGATGTGGTCCCAGATGGACATCTGTCTTTCTGGTGGAAAGAGTGAAGGGGAGATCTTCAGGCTTGGAACAGACAGCCAGTGGCTGGAACTATAGTTGCTCTGGACCTGAGAGATTTTGAGAGCATTTGACAGTGGCTAAAGTCCAAGTTTCTTGCCACGATTCAGCAAGTTCCCAGAAAGAAAAAAAAAAAAAAAAAACCTTAGCACTTGCAGTGGATCAAGAGACTGAATTCTCCCAGATTCAGAGAAAGTTTGCTGGGTCACAGAGCCACACTTACCTTAGGTGAGAACCCAGAGACTTCTTCCTCCTCCTCCAGTTAACTATGTGAATGCAGCCTGCTGTGGATTGTTTTTTTTTATTGCTATCTCCCACCCATGTGGCTCTCCAGGATTGGCTCTTAGGTAGGACTGGCATTAGATTCCCAGGCACACACCAGCCTTGGGTGTAGGTAAGATAAGTGATTTCCCGCAACAGATGGTTTAAAAAAATCCCTTTGCCCTTTCTCTCACGATATAAGCAAGTCTTTCCTTGATACAAATGCTTCTTTATAAACAATTACAATATGTACTGAATGCTGACTACCCTGAGCAATGTCAAGCTCTTTGCAACCATTGCTTCTTACATTTAATCCTTAAAATAAACCCATGAAGCCGGTGCCATATTTATTCCCAAACAAACACTAGTGAGAAGGAAGTTTAATACTCAAAGGAAAGTGGAAAGAAATCAAAACAGGTACTTGTTTGCACAATGGATTTCCAATGTACCTTGCGCTCCTAGCTAATTACTTTAAAGCACTTCTGCTTCAAGCAGCCTAGAGCCCATAAGAGCAAGAGAAAAAAAATTAAGAAGTATTTCCAATCCCTGACCCCTACATTCTACTCAACTTCAGAGATTAATGCTGAGGCAGCCTGAAATGGGCAGTTTGTCAGGGTGACTCAGAATGGAAAAGAACAACAAGCTTCTGGACAGAATCAGCACTAACTCAGCTCCTTCCCTGATCCATTCTACCATGTGAGCTACTTCATAGATGGGAATGGAGAGGATCTTGGATCTTTAAACTCCAGGCTTGCACTGGGTTTCCAAGACATGATGGAAATCATGGGGTTAATAAAAGAGTTATTTCTTTTGCAGAACAAATGGCCCCTGCCTTCTCTTTGCTGCTCTGGGATTCTTTAAGGGGCTGAGGTTATTAGAGATGAGGCACATGGGGAATCTTTAACACTGTTCTCTGACACCTTCTAGCAAAACTTTAATCTGGACAACGAAAAGATGCTACTCTGGATGCAGATGGGGAAAAGTCCCCCATATGTGGAACTCACAGGAATTGGACCCACTGTATAGCCCACTACATCATTCAGTTTGCCCAGATACTCTCCCCAGGATCCACAGTGGTCACTTCTCACCATCTCCATTCTTATCAACTATGTCTGGAACAACCATTACCCCTCACCCCGTCATTCTTGGCAGATATCCTGCGTCCACAGCACCCGACCTTGGTCTTTCTCCCACTAATGTATAAATATTTGCCTCCACTTCTCTCTGCCCTCCTCCTCTTTTTCCTCCTCCTTATCTACCTCTTCCTCTTTCTCCTCCTCTTTATTCTCATTCTTTTTATTTTCCTTCTCTTCATTCTCCTCCTCTTATTTCTCCTCTTAGCAGTACTGCAGATCAAACTCAGGACTACTTGCATGCCAGAAAAGTGCGGTATCACCATTCTATACCCAGCCCCACTCAATCCCCCACCCAACTTAAGATGTATTCTTTCCCCTTTTGCTCTTCTGTTTTAAACATTTGTTGTATTAAGTTATTTAAGCAGAAAGATAACATTGCATGTTTCTCTCACATTCAACGTGATATGCTGAAGGACATATACATGATAGGGTGCTTAGATCTAGCTAATGATCAAATGCATGCCTTTCTATAGTTACCTTTTTTTAAAAAACTGAGAATATATAAAAACCCTGAACTTTAAGTTTTTTGAGTTTCCAAGGTGTGTTTTATTGATGTAAAGTCAAAATAAGGTAATATAATTTTCTGGTCTGCCAATTAGCTACACAGAAGTACATAGAAAAAAATTTTTCTGACTTCCGGGAGAACATGGTGGATAGATAACAGCAACTACCGGAGGCTCTCTGAAAGGCTCGGCTCAGAAATCAGGAATGATGCGGACTAAGGAGACATGAGCCGGTAGAGATATGCTCTGCTGACTCAGGAACGAACTGGGCTGAGAGAAACCAACTTGGAATGCAGTCCTGGCGCTAAAATAGGAACAGAAAAGACTGGGTGTGGAGGCTGGACCCTGCGCCATTGGAAACCACGGTTTGGATTTCCCGCCACTCAGCAGCTGGCTGCCTCCACAGCGACTCGGCAAGGAGAGACGCGCAGAAGCTCTGTGAACGGGAGTCTGCGAACGGAGTCGAAAACAGGACGGACAAGGAGGCGTACACTGACTGGTGGCGAGGTGAGTGAGAGAAACTGACACTCTACCACAGTTTGACTCCAGTGGAGGACTTTCTGGTCTCAGGCAGTCCTGTAAGAGCAGGGCGCGGTGGTGACTCCAGCCACACATTCCCCTCTCGGACGGGATTGGTGAAAAGTGCCTGGCCTGCGTGACGCTGCGGGCGGACTTGGTAGGCTGGCCTAACCCAGATCCCAGAGCCTGACGGTGGCCCAGAGGGGCGACTGACTCCCGCTTAGGCTGCCTAGTCCGTAACTCCCTGGTGCGCAGCGGTGGGCGGGAACACCTAGCCAGCACAATTTGATCAGGCTGTGGCTGACAGGCAGGGAAGCTGGGCCTCCTATGTAAGCTTGCATTTTATAAGGAACAGAGAATATGGGGAAGGGAAGCAACAAGAAAGGCTCCTCGGCCCCCAATTCTGAGAAACAGGCAATAGCGGACACCGCACCAATAGACATTAAGCGCCATATAGAGAGCCTCATAGACCAATTCAGGAATGAAGTTATCAACGACCTGAAGCTAGAAGTATGCAGAATAGTTAGAGAAATGCTAAGCACCACCCAGGAAAAAACAGATGCTGGAATGGAAGAACAGAAAAAGAGGGGAGAATTGTTTGATGGAGAAAACAGAGAAAGCATAGAGTACGTGAAGCAGGTTCAAAGGGACTATCAAGAAATTAAGAAGTCTATCCAAGACTGGCATAACAGCTTGAAAGAAACTAAGGACAGACTATCTGAGCTGGAGGGCAGACTTGTAATATGGGAGAATGAAATGAAAAACTTCTTAAAAATAACAAAGAAACAAACAGCAATAATACAAAGACAAGAAGATGATAAGAGGAGCCATAACTTAAGGATTAAGAACATAAAAGAAGAAGTAGGGATACAAACAAGTGAACTACAAAAGCTACTCACAGAAATAATCCAGGAGAATTTTCCTAATTTAGCAAAAGGTAAAGATACTCAGATGTACGAGGCATACAGGACCCCAGCTACCTACAACCCTAACAGAGAAACACCCAGGCATATAGTAATAAAAATTCCAGAAATTCAATACAAGAACAGAATATTAAAAGCTGTAAGAGACAAGAAACAGACAACTTACAAGGGAACACCCATCAGAATTACAGCAGATTTCTCTGCACAAACCATCAAATCATGAAGAGCATGGGGGGAAATAATTCAAGCTTTGAAAGATAATAATCTCCAGCCAAGATTGAGATATCCTGCACAACTGTCCCTGGAAATTGATGGAAAAACAAGGTGCTTTCAGGATAAAGAGGAACTGGGGGAATTTGCAACCACCAATTCAAGCCTACAGAAAGTATTGCAGGATATTCTAAAAAAAGAAAAATACAAAGAACCCAGAAATAGTGGCAGGGAGGCCACAACGAATGGAGCAGAGAACAAAATGAAGAAGACAAACTGACAGCTACTGACAAAAAAAGAGCTCAACAGAAATGAGACAGAGAAGATTGGATGATAGGAACAGCTATTTTAGAGAAAATGACATCTTAATAGGTAATACTGATTTAGTATCATCTTGTTTTGAAGTCTCATCTAGCTTTTGTTCTTCTGTCTCCAATGGTCTAAACAGGTTGTATCTTATTGGATTTTATTATGTATGACAGTATAAGCAAAAACCTTTTAAAGACAAGGAGATTATACAGAAACCATTGTTCATTTTCTGTTAGTCGATTCTAAATACTCTGTAATGCTGTCATTCTCTTAAATGGTTTTACATTATTTTGATATACTTAATGCTACAGTATATGAAGTTGTACTCAAGGACTTCAAGGAAAGAGTCAATATGGTAACTACTTTTAGGTCGGAATTATCTGGTGGTGAAACACTATTCTGCTTAAATGGTTATGTTTTGATCTGCCCTGTTTTGCTGTTATGCCCTCTTTTTTCTCAATCTCCACTCCATTATTTACTTTTTTATTTTTATCCATTTAATTAAAGGGAAAAAAATAGCAGGATGTATTATACTAACCCACTTTGACTTTCTATTATCTCGATTTGAAGCCCTGTATTATTCTCACCATCTTGTTTTTGACTGATGTTCCCCTATTCTGTTTTGATGGATAGTATCAGGTTCGAAAGTTTAGGCATCAGCTGAGAAGATAATGAGATTCATTATAACGCCCATTCTCGTTGACTTTTATCTACTTTTGAAGACCTACAATGTCTCCAATGGTTTGGTTTTGTCGGTTTTGTTCTTTACTGTTTTGTTCAATTGTATTATAACTAATGATATAGGCAATTCTATTAGAGATAGCGGGAGGCATTATGGTAACCATTGTTGATCACCTTGTATTATGTTTTTATATTATCTATTATGTCCACCCTTTTGACTTGACCGATTCTGTTCTGTTATGTCTCATTTGGTTTTACTCTCTTCCAAAAAAGCAATAAGAACTGTGGGAGCAATGAAACCCAAAATGTGTAATAGTCATTGTACAAAAGAGAGGAAAAGAAAGTGCTCTAAACTATATAACTGCATGTATATTTAAGTGTATAAGATAGAAAATGATATCACAGAGTTTTATTGGATCATTGAACAGAACTGTTTGCAGTATCGTTATTGGAATGTCCACTCTACAAGCTTTAATTTTGTGACTTGAACAATTATTTTTAAGATGGCAATATGTAATCCATTAACTAGTGATTTCCTACTGTTCATTTTTTTCTTCTGTAAATCTGTATAACTTGTACCCTTTCACTTTTTTTTTCTTTTCTCCTTAAATTAAAAAAATTTTTTTTTCTGTTACAATTTCTTTAGTGAGAGAAAAAGGGAAAATAGTTTAGCTGATGCACTGTGACTTTTTAAAATTTTATATTTTATTTAAAAAAAGAGAATTTAAAAACAGAAAAAATGAGAAAAAAGTAGAACACAGAATTCAAAAAAATTAATTAACACAATAAAATCACTAATTAAAAACAAAACAAAACAAAAATCCAT